TTATTATTTCATTCTTTATTTTTACTTTTTATTTGAATGCAGTAACTTCCTAGTAGAGTGGTTTTGTTTTTTTATCTGTCTGGCAAATAAGTAAGATGAGAACTTGACTTAACTGACACCCATAACAATGAAGAGAAGGACTTACTTTAGAAAGTTAAATGAAGCACTTCATATATTATCAGCACAAGTTGACATGGGGCTTCTAAAGTGAAATGTATTCATAAAGAGGAAAATTCATCAGCTGTGTTATGTCTTAAGAAAAAAGTAAAAATCAACAGCTAAATCTTAAAATTGTTTATCTCCAGTAATTCTATGTTTATCAGGGCATCGTCAGCATAATAAGTAACTCAGAAGTTCAGAGCAAAACATGAATAAGAAACCCTGTCTTATAATTCCACTTTTCCAATTTTTCAGCCATCTTTCAATGCCAAAGACACGTACTATGTATTCAACCACGTGAGCATCACCATAAGTTATCACATGGTCTCCAAGGATGAGGCTGGAACCTCTGTCACTGGCTTTGGGTCAAGACTGGTATCTGCTAAGATGGAGCCAAGAAGGTGGGTTGATATGGGTGATGTGTTATTGAAAGTCTATATACTCATGGGTTGATATGGGTGATTTGTTATTGAAAGTTTGTATACTAATGGGTTGATATGGGTGATGTGTTATTGAAAGTCTGTATACTCATGGGTTGGTGTGGGTGATGTGTTATTGAAAGTCTATATACTCATGGGTTGGTGTGGGTTTATAAATGATTGCAGGTATGATAGGTCTCACAAAAGGCCAGAAATGCTTTAATAAGACTTGTGTTGAAATTGTTATACTCTTTTAGGTCTGTGAGGCAAACACTGATAATTTAAGACAGTCCTCCATGCTCAGTAGAGATAAAAGTCTTGGCAAATTTTAGAGCTTGTCAAGAGATCCATGCCCCCCCTCCCCACTCTTTACCATTTGCACCCCCTTAAGCGCTTGAATTTTCACTGTTTTTATTTCTGATTTGGAACCATATGCCAACTTGAATGCATATTTTAATAAACCTTCTGCCAATATTATATTTAAGTATCAAGCATAAAGCAGGGACAGGGGCGGAGGCCTGTAACACCAATGATGTCCTCGGCATCCCTGCTGCCCTGACAGGTGACCTGGAGATCAAGTACACCTATGATGTCACATTCCAGGTAAGATTTTGACCTTGTCATTTGTGTGGGTTTGTGTGTGTGCAAATGAGAGTATGGAAGGTGTCATTGCCTATCACTGTACATAGCAAATATCTTGTATTTGCTTGTATGAAATATTAAAAAAAAAGAAATTAAAGATTTGTAAAGAACGAGAAAATTAATGAGAGAAAATTAAGAAAATTAATGCAACAGTTGAGGTTAGGTTAAGGTTAATGCCTAGCATATTTTTGAAGAACTGTCTGACTTCCATCTTGGAACATAGATAATTAATGTTATAAATGATTATCATAAGTTAATTGATAATATGTGAGTTAAATCATTAGAATTACTATTTTGTTTGTCAGTTTTGGATTTCTTTTTCACCATTTCACTGTCAAAATGTGTCTGTCGTCCAAAATTTCAGGCCAACCCAGATATCCGCTGGTCCTCCCGCTGGGATTACATCCTGGACTCCATGCCTCACACCAACATCCAGTGGTTCAGGTAAGAGAGAGAGAGAGAGAAAGAGAGAGAGAGAGAGAGAGAAAGCCAGAGAGAGAGAGAGACAGAGAGTGAGAGAGAGACAGAGAG